ACTGTGAGCCGTGCGACGCCTTTTGGCGAGAAGAGGCGTGGTGTTCTCGGACCAGCAACTGGGCGTGGCCGAGAACATGTCAGAGTGGAAATTTTAGCGGGCTTATAGGGCCGATTTGTGACAGGGATATGATCAGCCGGTCTGCCTCCATCCGGTCTGTCTCTGTCTCTGTCTCTGTCTCTGTCTCTGTCTCTGTCTCTGTCTCTGTCTCAGTCTCCGTCTCCGTCTCCGTCTCCGTCTCTGTCTCTGTCTATGTCTCTGTCCCTGTCTCTGTCTCTGTCTCTGTCTCTGTCTCTGTCTCTGTCTGTCTCCGCCTCCGTCTCCATCTCCGTCTCCATATATATATATATATATATATATATATATATATATATATATATATATATATATATATATGTATATATATATATATGTGTATATATATATATATATATATATATCTATCTATCTATCTATCTATATCTATATATATATATATATATAGATATAGATATAGATATAGATATAGATAGATAGATAGATAGATAGATAGATAGATAGATAGATATATATATATATATATATATATATATATATATATATATATATATATATGTATGTATATAATATAACACGTTTTGTAGACCGTAGTATGTGCCATATATATATATATATATATATATATATATAAAATCAAACATGTGTCATCAATAACGACATGATTAACTAATGCGCTGCTGCATAGGCCAAATAAGGTCTGAGCTTCTGTGAAAGTGCTATTCATTCGTTTGGCATCTATCCGAACCAACAGCAAGTAAAGCCCTCGCCAGACGCGACGCATAACTGAAAGGTCCCAAAAACAGTCCATGCTTAAACTACGAATCCATCGGCTTCGGCTTCGACTTCGACTTTTCACCCATGTCACTCTCTTGGCTTCGGATTTGGCTTCGAAGTCAGAAGCCTGGCGTCGCTCCATACCTGGTGGCCAGTGTTCAGCCACTGGGACAAACTGACCGGTTAATCTGTTAAACTTAGTATGACCCTCAAATTCAATGTTCATTGGAGCTGAACCGGTTATCTGTTGTGTCTACCCTACGCTTCCAACCAGTTCAAAAAAGGTATCGATAAAATACAGCTTTTGAGGACAATAAAGCAAAAGATATACTTAAACCAACTAATTTGTTTTTGATGACTAAACCTTATCACAGTTAGAAACAAAGCAAAACAGCTCAGTTGAACGGCTGGTGGCCATTTTCTCCATTTTTGAAACGTCCCATTTTAAAAAGCTGGGCACACACTTTCAAGCGCGCACTTATGTCCAGGTTTTCAAGAACAGGCACGCTAATTCCAAAACTGGACTCGAGCTTCCAAGGAATGAGCATGGAAAATGACGTTGGCGTTTTCGAAGTTATGTGTGAGCTAGCAGGGATATTTGTGCATCTCCCAATGGTGACATATGATTCAGTGGTCTTGATTTACAAAAGCTGTTGTGGTACCTGCGGTATTCACCACCGGCTGCATACAAAATATATTTGACCTTAAGTATCAGCGAAGGCAGATTTGAACGGTTACCTGGTCGTCTTACAATACTCTAGCGATTATTCTGCTGTTTTTGGAACGAATAAATATATTAACAGTCGCTTAATCAGTGCGACACATCAAATTTATCACATAAAATGCATCAGAGCGAAATGAGCATATCTGGTCACAGGACAGAAATCTAGGGCAGTTCAAATTGTTCGACAGGGTCCTGCCTGACCCTTCCGCCCCCTCCAAATGCAAGTGTAGAAAATGAAAGCCTGGGTAAGAACGAGCAACCCGGGCATCTTCCCAGCCCACCTGGGGCCGTACGCTCCCCGCCGCTCATATTATCAAAGGCATCCTGACAAAAATCTCAACCGTATTCAGCCCAAGGTATTTTTGGCGGATGTATTTGGTCGAGTCCTGTTTTGCCGAAGTGTGTTCTATTGCCGCGTCAAAAAGACGAAATATGAAAATTGGGACAGCAGTGTTACAATGTACCGCTTTTCTAACGAGTGGAAATTATGAAGTGTTATTCCGAAATATGATTAAGTCGAGTGCTAATTCATCGTAATACTCCAAGTCGCATGCTAGGTTACGAATGGTCCTTTAGTCGAACGGTAATTTGCCGAAATGGCTTTTATTCGAATGCTAATTGTCAAACTGTTCTTTGGTCGGATGATACGCATGTGAGCGTTCTTAAGTCGAACGTTTATGCGTCGAAATGCTGTTAATGGGTTGTAGAGGACACCTCAAGGAGTACTGGCTGTAGGTAAGGCAGCACCAATGGCCTTATTCACCGTAAAATAGCCAGCGAATGGAGAGCAAGGTGGAGTGATATTTCGGCTGCATGCCTTTATCGAAACGAAAATCAGACGAATATCAGACTGATATTCGTTTTGATAAAGACATGGAGCCGAACTATCAATCCATCTATCTCTCCATTCCCCTGATTATTCTACGAAGAAGAAGGCAATTAGCACTGTCTTATCTGAATGCATAATGCTGCTCACAATTGCAATTAGGAACCTATGAGTATTGGCTGTGTGGACCAAGCAGTGCCACGGGTCACCTTCATCTCAGTCTGCATTGCCATGCGCTGTGTCGGATCAGGTCCGAACAAAAAATCCTAGATCGGCTACCCGTGCGCCTCTGGTTATTTTCAGAACAGGTTCAGGGCAAAAGCAAAGCCCTCTGACACTCCCAAGTTTAACCCGCGCCCGGTTGGCCGGGTAGATACCCTTTGTTCGGGTGGGGAGGTCAATTTGACCCCCTCTGAGATCTGAGGGGCTAGTAGGGCTAGAGACACCAAATTGGCAGGGTGTATTAGCTCATTATCTGTACGTGAACTTACTTAGGACAAGAGGATCCTAGGTCACGGCATTCGGGTCAAGTGATGTCAAGAAGGTTAAACCCAAAGTTGGTCTCCATAGTGTCCCCAGAAGAACCTAGATACCTGCTCTAAGCAAAAGTTAATATGCCCATTTAAGGCCAGTGACCTTGTTTGCCCTTTAGAAGGTCATGGTGACCAAGATCATAGAAGATTATTTTGAATTCTGCATTTAAATATGCGACAAAGATCGCGCGAGGCAGCATGGTCTTAAAAACAAAATGTCGACCTGGGTCATTGTAGGTGAGTGACCTATTCTGACCTTTGAGAAGTCTACGAAAGTTGTTTAATGCGGTTCTAGTTATCAATAAATACAAAATGCGCACCAGAAACTACCCCATACAGAAAACCCTAGCGTAAAAACAGGCTGGTTTTGATCTTGGTTTGACTTTGTGCTTGACCCTATGTCTAATGAATTTGTTTATTCTATTGTTTATTCAATTATTCACTTTGTTTATTCAATTTGGTCATTCATTTTGTTCAAGGATGAAGGTGCGGCTTTGCCTACCACTCAGTTTTTCCATGACATTAAAAGATTCGCCAGAAACCGACCTCGCTGAATCTGCGGCCTGACTGTAGCCTGCCGCATGCCAATCATCCTGCATGGCAAATATAGTTTTTTGGTATCGTGCAATCCGCTACTCAATTGTCTGCATTTATGCAAATTTTGCGCGGGTACGCCATGCAGTTCGGAAACTATTCCGGAAAAGCCCTCGGGTGTCAATTTGATCCCCACTCGAGTGCGTGTTAAGAGGAAAAACACCTATAGGGGATACCTAGTCGCTTGTGACCTTCCGCAGATTGTTCCAATGTTCAATGACAGACGAGTTCAACATCATTCTGATGCCTTTTGGCCGTATAAACGTCTTCCTACCTTTTTGCTCCGAACACGATAAAGCTTGCAATATAAGGTTAAATTTTAGGATATAACTGGCTCCAAAATGCGTTTAACCCCAAAAAGTCCACACATTCCTGAACTTGCTTGAGTAAGTTTCCTGGGTCCACAGCTATTGACTTCTTGTTTGACGTGTCACTATCTTAATTATGGGGGAAAAAGCGTGGGCCCTTCCGTCCTGTAATGTGTAGCAGCTGGTGGAAACCCTCATTGGCCATTCATGAATGACGTCACGCGTATTGGGAAATTCGCAAATCTACCATCTTCTAACATTGTTACACGAATTGCCAAACATGCTCCATGCCTTCCATGACCAACGATGCTATGGGCGTAGAGTAACGCTACGCACCTGTATAACGATAGAAGAAATGGTTCGTTTGGAAGCAATGTTGGTTGCGCCATCATAGCAACGAATCGTGACCATTGAATGGAGAATCCAGAAATTGCATTATGATCTTTAAGAGGATGCAGCCTGCTGGAAGTGTCACTTAAAAAAGTGAAGTAATCTAGCTCACATATATGCAAAATGAATTCGGCTTTTTCGCCATTTGACGACTTTGAACTCGTATGATTACCCCTCGTCAAGTTCAGATTTCGACAAAAAGGCATTCGGTCATTGACCATTCGTCTACTTGCCATTCACCTAAAAAGCATCCCAGTATAGTGACATTCGGCAAGTAACATGCCGTCTAACTCGTTCTCGGCAAATTACGCATTTCGGTTTATTTGCAGCTCGGCAACTTAAATGTCGTTCCAAAAAAAATTTCTTACATGCATTTTGCTTTTAAACCGTTTGACTTTTTAACATCGAGGCAAGAAGACGTGGCGGGAAAACGCAGTCGTGTTTTACATTTGGTTAAAGAGCATTCGGTTCAAAGCTTTTTTGTCCTGGAACCGTTTGCTAGACAAGTTCTACCAGAGGACGGCCGCTAAGTCAGGTAGTTGATATGAGGCGAAGGAAGTAAGGAAGTCGGGCGAGTCCAATCGAGATCAGAAAAACTGCGTCAACTTCATATATATATATATATATATATATATATATATATATATATACATGTACATTCGTCCGCCATCGTCATGTGACGTCACTGCTGGTCGTTACAGCCGGCTGCGCTCCAGTCCGACGCAGCGGCATCAGACTCGCCGGTTCGCACGCTACTGCATCTACTGCTGGGGCAGTCCGCTGCTGCTCACGCTGGTCACGGCGCTCATGCAGTTCGGCCCCGCTGGGCTGACGGCCGCGCCCGGCCTCCCGCGGCCTCGGCTGGGCGTAGAGAACTGCTGGTTTCCAGGTGAGGCGAGCGGGTGTGCACAGAACTGCTGGCTCCTAGGTGAGGTGCGCTGGGTGAGCACAGAAAGGCCGGTTCCCGGGTGAGGTGAACTGGGTGTGCACAGAAAGGCTGGTTTCCAGGTGATGTGCGCTGGGTGAGCACAGAAATACTGGTTCCCGGATGAGGTGCACTGGGTGTGTACAGAACGGCTTGTTACCAGGGGAGGTGAGGGAGGTGTGCAGGAGACATATCACCCAAACGCTACGCGCCGATATAGGATTTTAAAGCAAGAAATCCGGAATCCGAAATCAGCCATTCGTCTGCATTCTAATATGGCATTCCTCAGTCATCTGAACCTAAATTTGACGTTGAAATGTGATCTTGAGTGGTCATGGTTTTTATGGTTGCTGGTTTATGCGCTGAAGCCGATTTTTATGTTTTGAAATCCGAAAACAGCCGGCGACTTTTGGTAACTGAGAGGTTCATATTATTTGAGTTGGAATTTGACTTCGAAGGGTTGCCTTGATATGCATGGATTGTTTTCACGTACGCTAGTTTAACAAATAAGGATAGTTTTGATTCTCAGCAATCCGAAATCGACCGGTAACGTTTTAGTAACATGGAGGTATACGTCATTTGACCTTGAACTTGACCTTAAAGGTCACATCTTGTTGAGATGTGGACACAGTATGCTACGCTCTCGCCGCAATTGATCATCTTACGTCTTTCCGTCGAAATCAAAATTCGTCGCTAAAGAAATCGTTAAAATCGCAAACTTCACGGACTAATTCCGTCATTGTCGGCAGCTAGACAAATCGGCATTTGGAAGTGCCACTTTCAAGCGCGTTCATCAAGGCTCACTTATTGCTCAGTTGCTGAATCACCGCAGAGTTCCCGGCGATCGCCATGACAGCGCGGCTGGCTCCGACGGAGGCTGCTCAGTTTGGGCTCAATAACGACCGACCAATTGCAACTGGCCGCCGCGCGGGGTTTTAAAATTAAGCCGGCGAATGGCGAGTCCGGTGCGCAGTAACATGATCACCTGCAGCTTAGGAGCGAGATCCTCCCGTGGGCATCCCAGACCGGTGCCTGACACCGTCAGCTTTCAAGGCTGGTCAAATTCGTTCCCAGGGTAATCGGACGTTTGGAGTTCAGCTGTATGGTGATCAGATCTGTCAGAGCCACGCTGAATGGGCTGTGGAAAACCATTGAACTATTTTGCTAGGTCAAACGGTGTGGCTGTCTTTGGTGGACTTCTAACTCGCTTGCGGAAAAGATTACAACATTGTAAAAAGCAATATATCGTTTGCTGTGCATTGACCTAATCAATACTTGCCACGGGCTGTCGTGCGCAGAATAAGCTTTCACATTTCCAAACTGCAACTTCTGGACTTTAGATTACGTGATCAAGAATGGTCAGAAAGTAGTGAATATTTTCAGCCTTTTTTAGCTCCGAATCTGACACGGGCCCAATTCGGACACGGAATCGCAGTCGTTAGGGACTTGGTGTCAAGCAAACCGCTTCATTTCCAAGATAAATTGTATTCGAATTCTCAATCGGCTTTTGGAAAATGCGGAATTGGACTCAAGATCAAAGAGCATAACAGCATCTTTCACTCGCAGACTGCGAACGAATTGCTGTGCCTGTTAACTTGGGCTGGGTTCCATGGGGTTTTGCTTCACTCGTTTCGGCCACTAAAAGCTACGGAGTTTGTCAATAGGTAAACGACTACGATTCTATTCATTTTCCTGTTCTAAAAGCTTTAGCTTTTATTGTAACCAAAAAAACACTATTCCAAAAATACTAAAGTTATCACATGTTCAAGTGGGTGTAGATTCGGAGCCCACCCAGTGACCTTTTCCATGTCATCATTAGCTGTTCATTGAAAGCCGTAAAGCGCGGTGACTTTCCCTGACTTAGTATGACCTACCTTGGCAAAAATTTTGGTGGCCTTCGTATCCCGAAGACGATTTCAAGAATGATCTTTTGAAGGCATGTCTGGACAACTTATCACCTGTCTATTCAGGTGTATGCTTTGACACATTGCTTCATCTCTCGAAAGCTGAACGAAGGCCACTTTGACTACAGCGATTTTTAATGCCGCCGTGTACACAGTTATTTGGAGAGTTTGCATCAACATGCAATTTGAAAAATTTGCGTCGCCATAGGTGATAAAAATCCCCGCACTGGTGAATCCATATGGGGAAAGAAAAATCCCCATAAAGCGACCCAGGATATACAAGAAAGGATATACAAGATATACAAGCGTCATGACGATATGGTGCTGGCCGGCCCAACATGTTCATAGCATCACAAATCTGAAGAAGGCATGCGATTTTGATGATTTATTTCACTTGAACCAAATGTCCAGACTTACCCTAGTTTTAGGCCTTTCGCGTTTGCCATGAGTGTATTTTTCATATGGTGTTCAAAATGAAAGGCTAGCCAGCCCAGAACACTTTCTCTTATTTGAAATCCCTTCCGTCAAAATTAAGCTAATAAATTCCGAGATATGACGGTGTCCGACTGCCCACCGGCCGAGATATGACGGTGTCCGACTGCCACCGGCCGAAATATGACGGTGTCCGACTGCCCACCGGCCGAGATATGACGGTGTTCGACTGCCCACCGGCATGTCAATCCTGTGGAGTTCAATGCATGATAATTTGGTGAAGCCGAATGATAGCCGTCAGTTCAAAACGTTTCTTCATAAATCACCGACTGAGTGTCAGATTGTCACATCACCCCTCATATCATGTTGAAAGTAACTTTATAGGAATGCTCAATACTAGCGATCCATGCAAGATTGTCACCTTGACTAGAACTCACGCTAAGCAGTGCTTGTTGTGTGAATGCCGACAGCTGCCATCTGATTGTGCAACAGCAGGTCAACGAGATTACGCAACTGAAGGCCGATCATATGAACGCAGATGTGCACATTCCTGCTGACATTAAGTCATGCCAGGTCACGCCAGGGTCGAGGTCGTCGCGCCACAAGGTTATCATGTCGACAACAACAAATAAGCGAGCTGCAAATTTTGAACTTATTTAGAACAATGTTAGGCTATAGTTGACGTGTTACTATCCCGACTACCATATATACACCCCAGTGTGACCTCTGAAAATTCCGGGAGTAACATCTCTGAGTTTTCCTTGATTACTGAAAATCGCGGAGCAAAGGTCACGGCATCTGCTATTCTTCAATACATATATGTTCGCTGCAGTATTAGAGACGGGGGCGTGGCGCTGGTTGTCCGCCTGTCCCTCGATGTGCCGCTCTTCAGCACGACACACTCGATTCTTTGCGGCGTGGAACATTCTATTAATGATGCAATATTTCTCAACATGCTTCAATAAGGGGTCCTGGGCTTTGCGAGACACATGCAGATGAATCATGAGCGCCAAAATAGTTAATTTGGCTGCAAACTAATATCGCAGAACGCTCCACCCATGGGAGCCTGAACAACCACACAAACAACACAATATGCCACCTAAACGCTCACAGACGCGGGCAATAACCACCATACGGACCTTGTGAAGGTCTGCAGGACAAATACTGTCCGCACTCGCATTAAACATTTGTTTTCAATGAGCCCCAATATGGCAGCGTCATTGCCTAGCCGCCGAGTGGCCGTTCCCATGACTTCAGTCGTTCAGCCCATCAGGATAGATAAGTGGGGGGGATTGGCAGGCGTTCTAAAGACCAATCTCGCCCTCCGCCCACGCATGCAGTACCACGTCTCTTAGCACCACTTAGCACCACGGCTCCGGGCGAATTCGATGGCGTTTACCACACTGTAACACCACTGAGAGGCTGCGTCAGCTGCGAGTTGGTATAGCAACAGCCCCAGTTAGCGTGGTGGAAATAGGAATATTACGTTGACAAACGGACCGCTCCGGAGATTGGAGTTCACCCGTCGGGGACTTTCCTGATTTAGTGAGGATCAGACGTAGATGTCATTTTCCTTGCCAGCACTTATAATTATTTAACGATGTAAGGGCAGATGTAACCGACACTTCTATTGGGATATCATATTCGCTAAATTTCCAAATGTTTTCATGTACCCTGGACATTGAGGGCATCACCATTGTGGAACACTAGTTGCAGTTGCAGCTCAATACTTGCAGCAAGTTGTGGAAAACATACCTCAATGAAAATTGCACGTACGGCATGGCAAGCTACATGCATAAGGGCTCTGGGGGTGATTTAAGAAGATGCAAGAATTTGTGTTGCGACCACAGCAAAAACTGTGAACGTTAAAACCAGAAAACAGCAAAAACTGTAGCAGCTGTCAACAACGCTCGGTTTGCGCCGCGTCACTGGTGCACGTATGCGCACCGAACAGCCGAGTGAACAATGTACCGAACATGATCAATGATCTATGGCTTCTGAAAGTTGTCATGGATCCTAGATAACTACATGCAGCCCGCATGACCCGCTCATGCTGTGGTGTTTGCTCCGATTGTTCATGCAGAGGTCCTCCGAAACTCTCAGAAGCATGCGACCTTATAAGTAAGGATTTCGCTGTATGTTCCTGGAAATAACCACCACGAGGCATACCAAACGGGCCAGAGCGCTGCGCTGCAGTCTGCCGTATTCAGATAAAAGAGGCTCACCGGCCTAGAGATAGTGATTTCGTCATCAGAGTAAGCCTCTCACGCCATCCGCTTCGAGCGCTGCAGAACTTCCCTCTTCCCTTGTGCTCACCCTGGCTCCCGGAGGCCCTCTGCCCTGGCAGGTGCTCACCCTGGCTCCCAGGGGCCCCCTTCCCCGCTGGGTGCTCACCCTGGCTCCCAGAGGCCCTCTTTTCTGGCGGGTGCTCACCCTGGCTCTTAGAGGCCTTCTTTCCTGGCGGGTGCTCACTCTGGCTCCCAGAGGCTCTCTTTTCTAGCGGGTGCTCACCCTGGCTCCCGGAGGTCCTCTTTCCCGACCGGTGTTCACCCTGGCTCTTAGGGGCTCTCTCTCCTGGCGGGTGCTCACCCTAGGCCTTAGAGGTCTTTCTTTGGTGGGTGTTCGCGCTGGCTGTTAGAGACCCTATTCCCTGGCGGGTGCTCACCCTGGCTCCTGGAGGCCCTCTTCCCTGGCGGGTGCTCACCCTGGCTCCCACTGGCCCGTTTTCCCGAAGAGTGCTCACTCTGGCGCCCAGAAGCTCTCTTTCCTGGCAGGTGTCCACCCTGGTTGCCAGATGCGCTCTTCCCTGGCGGTGCTCACCCTGGCTCCCAGTGGTCTCCTCCACCAGGGCGGTGCGAGCAGGCGGCGAGACGGGCTCATTATCTGCCGCCCAACACCAACCGCCACTCAGATCACGGCGGTTCATCCAGCACAGGCGGCAGCGGCGGCTCCAGCCACCACGCCGCTCCCACCTCCAGTCGATAGGCTGCTGCAGCTGGAGCGGCCGGCCGCCAGTGGGCCTGGCCTTCCCGCCGCGTTCCTGACGCCGGACGCGCGCCTGCCAGAGGTTACTTGTTGTGGCCTGGGCCTGGCGGCGTGTCTCCCGCAGGGCTGGTGACGCTGACACCTGGCCTCGATTCCGAATCAGCCCACTTACAGCCGAGCTGGGAGTGCAGCTCGCCAGGCGCGACTAGACATGGTTTGCGCCTCAGGCTAACGACAGGCATCGTTTCAAGCAACAACAAACAAATGTGCGGCGGTGAAAGAAAACGATAGAAAAGCAGGGTCCCTGCGGTTCGCCATTAACTAGCCCGTCCTTGGTGGTGCTCCCGGAGAGTCCATATGTCACGCCGGCCCCAGTCAGGGCCGCTGGTGGCGTGCTCTAGGCATGAGCGGTCTGTCATCACCGCATGGGGACGCCGGCACCGCATCGCTCGCGCCGAACGTGACAGACGGGAGCTCACGCTCGCCATCCTAGGTGTAGGTGAAGTGGGGAGAAGCATTGGCCTCTGGCCAGTTTCATTTACTGAGACTTGAGTATCGACCATGTAAATTTTGCTTTTCGGGAGAGGGCACGCACCCGGCACTGTCTTTGGCAGGCACCTTTGGTATGACATGATCAAGGACATCCTCATTAGTAACACTCGTAATAATGTGGTGTTGACACGTGACACGTAATTGAGTCATGTGAGACAAAGCGCACTTCTAACAGCGCGGGTTTAATTTCTCGAAATTGTGCGCTAGATTGGCCGTCAGGTTCATGAACTAGGTGTATGAGCACTCCTGGGCGCTTCCGCGTCAGTGGCTGACGCACGAATATTCAGGTAGGGAGGAAGAAAGTATATCCTGTTCATTAAGTATTAAGCGCTTTTGATCTACTATTTCTAAGTTGCAAGTACATTGCCTAAAATGTTAGCAGCACTCGGCAATAGGATCAGGAGTGTATTTTACAATTCATTATTTGAGGAGGGAATGGGTCTAATGCGGTGAGAATCCCGTTTGTTGTATTTTGTGGTACGTTTCCGCATGTTTCCGCATTTTAGCGCAGCAATGCCGGCGTACAAAAGCGAACTGTGAACTCAGGTATACGGAGCGGTGCATGTCTGGTCTAGAAGGGTTAGCTATTTCATTTTGATTTTGATTACATTGGGCGGTTTAGATGCAGCCACAAAAATCACAGGAAAGTCAAATCAACCTTTCCTCGAACGAAGATAGCGTTGAAAAGCCGTTCATCACCCTTCAAGAGATTCCAGGTTAACATAGATGAGACAGTAGTATAAGTCTTATTCCTCGGGGAAAAAACAGGAAAATGGAGATATAGTTAGCATGACATTTCGGCAGCATGCCTTTCTCGAGGTTATAGAAAAAGCAAAATTCACTACTGCTGTTCAAAATTTCTGCTAAGAAAATTATTCTGCTATTGTTGAAATATCAAGCTAACTTTATCTCTACTTTTCTGTTTTTTCCGAGGAATAAGGCTAATACTACTGTCTCAACTATGCGACTAATGTTCTCCGCTAATGCACTGGACAACTTACGTGATCCCATGTTAAGTTAACAAGCGCTGCGACTTGGAGCCGCATCTCGGCTCTTCCCACTAATCTACTCCGGAACGTGAGGGCAAATGGCGCGTCAGGGTGACGAAACGTGCTGCAGCTGGAGATCAGGTCCTAATAAATGCCTTGTTTCTGCTGAGACGCGCAATTTACGTCCAATTCACGCGAGCTCTCTAGAGCTGCCGCGCACTGCAGTCAGCTTAATGCGATGGCTTGACTGTTGGAATCTCACCTTGCTGCTTACATCAGCTGACGTCACGCTTCATTTGGGGTAAATAGCGCACTGCTGTTTTGCGCCGCAAGTCGGATACTTGGCACGGCTCCTGTTCGGATAGAGACGCACCCCAAAACACGGCCATGGGACGCTTGCAGAAGCTTTGCTCGTGTCCAGCAGAGCGGTTCAGGGCTGCCTGGCAGGGCACACAGCTCCAGTACATCACCGGAGGGCCGTTCTCAGCGCGGGCCGGACGCGCTGGCCGGTGCTCTGGCCGACACCGCCCGGGCGTCGCGGGGCCGCATCGCCCGGTATCATATTACCTGCCCCCTCCCTCTCCCCTGAGGTCAATCAGCATGCGGGGCCGATCAGGCCGTAAATAACATCGGAGGAAGAATTGAGCCCGGCTGTCGGACCGTGATGAACGCCTGCACCAACTGGCTCCATGGCAAAATGTTGATGATCTGGCGCATTTTAACAGAAAAAAGGGATCTCGTTCGGAAACGCGCGCGAATTTCGCATGACCGCCCGGGTATTCACCAACGCGTGACTGCCACTCAAGCCTTGGCTCAACTACTTCATCATGGCGTTTGCGGCATTTAGTGTGAGATTCGTGAAAATCAGGGCACAATCGTGGTCGAATAAAACGCGACAAAGGCGCCACTGTCCGTACCGAGCGCGGGCCTTCAGAATATCTTAGGCCGCAGCGGTTAGGTCACAGCGCTGGCCTAACGAAGCCAGGCCAGCGTTCGCCGAGGTTGGCCACGCTGGGCGACATGAAGGCGGGGGTCTCGCACGATCGATTGGCAAGTAGTGGTATTTTAGTCAATACCTTTTCAACATAGGACAATGTTTGTTCGGCGTAATCATTAGCTCTTACACCAACCCACGTGATCATAGTTTACATGTGACTACATGCGTATGACTGGCGTTGATTTACGCCGGACCTGCTGGGGTACTAAAAGTGTAGAGGTTATGCTGCTCATCTGGAAAACCAGAGGTACGGAGTTTTTCCCCGCGCTGCTCGCTCTTCCCGCCAAGGTGGAAGGCTAGACGACACTTTACGCCAAGCGCATCGGTAAAGCCCCAATGACAACGGCTATTTGATGCGATTTACGGGGCGACGTCGTCACATGGTTATAAGATAGTCAATCACTACACTCGGGGCACTCGAACGGAGTTTTTTTTATATCTGTGGAAGTACACGGACGGGTCCGTGACGGTGTCCCACCGCGCTCGTTGTGTACAGGTCTAGCCCATTGCCACTTGGTGGTGAGCTGCGGACGCGCCGCGCCGGTACCCGCCGTCCTATCACCTTCCGCATCTGCAACGTTGGTGCCTTGTTCCCATTCGTCAAGCACCCCTCCGTCACCGGCGTGAGACGTGTCCCCCTGCCCCGCCCCTGCTGACCTGTCGCTGACCCCTGGACCCCGCGCCTGCCGCAGGGAGCAGGGAGATGCTCGTGTACTTCCACTGGCCTATCCTGCTGCTGATGTCGGCCAACGTGGGCTTCTTCGTCGTCACAGCCTGGAACCTGCGCCGCGGCGAGAGCGACGCTGCGGCTGTGCGCAAGCGGAAGAACATCGCAGAAAGGTAGCCGGCTGGGCACGCCCGAGCATGCCGGGTGCTGGGTGCTGGGGCCTGCGCAGCAATGATGAAACGCAGGACTCACGTGCACATGATCCAAATGTTTTGACAGCGTAAGCAGCGGGGAAAAACGTGTAACTTGAGACCAGAACGGAATTAGAATCCCTCGTGCTTGGTAAACCGGCGCCTTGTGCGTTGCGTTTTCGTGAAAAATGGACTTACCACTCTCACAGACGGCTGGAAGCGAACGATGAGAAGAAACACTACCATATGGTTTAAACCGAAAACCGTGACCAGAACTACCTAAAGCAAAGCACATACTCACACCGCCGTTGTGGGCATCAAGCAGCATATTTAGTTTGGGCGCTACAGCCCGTGCGATCAATATCACAAACCCACACAATCGCATGACGGCTCACGTGCGTGCGTGCGGCGGCGGCTCCGGCTGCCGGCATCGAGACCGGCCGCAATTCAATACAACACGCAAGCGAATGGTTTTCACATTTCCGGGACCCAATGAACATCCATGAAAGGTCAAAATGTCGTGTCTGGTCGTCGGATTTTGGTATAGGAAACTGAGCGGTACCAAGATGAGCTCGCCCGTTATGAGTCACCCAATGCGTTTGTGTCACAGAGGAGTGCGTGCCTTCATAGCAGTCATGGGCATGATAAAGCGCGTCGACCTTGACCGCCCCGGCTTGTCGTGTCCTGGACACAGCAAACTCGACCGGTGGGGACGCGTGTCTACACGTGCGGCTGCCTGCTCTGATTGTGGCCGTACGAGGACAAAACAGACCCATCAATAGGATCCAAACGCTCTGAGGACTTAATGTGTCATATTTCACACGCGAGACACCGCCACCGGCTCAACAGCAAGCGAAAGAACACAAGTCATTTGCGCACGTGCCACGCGTCACTCCATGCTGCTATCCCCGCCAGACTGTATCTCCCTATACACTCTTATTAACACTGAGCACTGCGCCGAGTTTGCAGATACTCGTTACACTAAGCGTGTCAAGTCTAATGAGCGGGGCACCATCCGTCAACGATAGTGGCATTAAGTTATCACATCGGCCTGTTTACATTCGATGCCACTGGACGTCTCCGGCGGCACCCTCTGACGTGCCCAGTTTGACGGCCGCAGCTCGACGCCTTGACGACACAGAGGTGACATGGCCAAAAGAGATGTACTCGTCGGACGGCACCTGTCGCCGCTCGCTGACAAGGTCTCTGAGGGTCAGAGGTCACGGCGTTGATCCTATTCCTCCCGACGGGAAGACCTCTGCCACTGCCCGTTTGATATGCACTGGTGGCAGTTCAATTTCGGAGACCCTCAGGGAGCGGCGCGGGACGCGATCCATCGGTGCCGGCCGCCCCGCCCCCCTCCCCAGCTTCCCTTAGTCTGTTCGCCGAGCCGTGGCAAACGACTGGTGAAGGTTTGGTAACGATCGATTCTGCAGGCCAGATTGACATGTGAAATGGTTGGACAGGTATGGTAACGGTATGTTGGGTTGGACAGGCAGGCAAATATAATCGCTAAAAGTGTTGCGGTATTTAGCCGAGACGCCATTCCAAGATCTCAATGTACTAAGTGCGTTCAAAGAGCACAGCTCCCTTTGGTTTTAAGCAATGAACCGCATATAGGTTGTTTTTATAAGGATGGAAGCCTCATATACAAAAATGCGCGGTAGGTATATTTCACCTCCGATTGCGACAACACATTTTGTATGCCTTCTTTGTCAAAAAGTGACCAAAAATGCCAGATATGATGAGAATTGAGACATTTTACCAAACAATGTACCCTTTGCAGATGCAATTTCCTGTGCTCAGTCAGGCACACAACGAGGGGCTGGCATAAAAGCGTGTTGGCTATATATTTCAGTACTGTGGTGGGTGCGGTTGTAATGGCTTTGCTCATAAGCCCGGTTACATTGGAAGAGCAGAAGCGCCACTCATCTTGGTCAGCGGTAGATAACAAATGAAAGGCGTGGGGGTCAGTTTGATCGCCGCTAGACGTGCCCTGTGAAAGCACTTTGTGCTGGTGCGTCCATTTTATCTTACATAAAACCATACGTGATGTTCCTTACTATGGTCCCTGCGTCTGCCCCCGTCGCATTTACTTAGATGCACCCTGCAGCATGTTGTGGCAAGTGAACAGGATATCATTACACAGACACGAAGTGCAGTCAGAGGGCTGTTTTGATGTGCTACAAGCGAAGCCCGGGATGCAGTTCCCTATTCAGTCCGAGGAGGCTTCAGTCCACGCCTACCGCACCCCCATATTTGAGAGGAGAGCGAACCAACTTCGTGGAGAAATCCGCTTCTTGACACATTTTCGGGTAGGTTTCGTCATGTTGCACGGCATCGCCCCCCCCCCCCCCCCCGAAGCTCATTTTGAGGTGATACCAGACGGCATTGTTATCGTCACGTAGATTGTACAAGAACACCATCTAACGGAGCACGCCGTCTTCGAAAACCTGTACGAATATGACTTCTAACATGAGTTGGAGTATCCTTATCCCACAAGTGTAGCGAGAACGGGTCCACTGTTATTCAGTATCAGTACACTAAAGCTGCCGCTGACGCTGCTAACATATTGTTTGGCTTTGGTTTTGACAAGTTGCCGGTAATTTTGAATGATGAAATCGATGAAGCTCGATTGGTTGACAGCCATATTGACTGACAAAAGAATTGAGATAAACACCAACGTTTTGATTGGGTATTGGTCACATTAAACTACAATCTGATGCAATCAACCACGGCTGATGATGACAGCCACTCTGGCTACACTCAATAGTGCAATCAGCTTCAGGGCATAACTGGTTTTACAGTCCCGCCTGCTCTGGTCGCTGGTATTTGGCAACAGTGCTTAAAACCGCCCTCAAAGGGATTATGGTTTGCAATGAGTAACGTGTAACAGCTCACACGCATCGATCCACACTGGCTCTGGCACGATCGCCCGTTTTCTGCTTCGTCAGCATCGGTACGCCTCGCGGTGCCGCGACACTTCCGTCGTCGAGATCTGAACATGTTTCCGGACCGTGTTCTCCCGGTTTTCGCCCTTTGAAGATTATACCCCTGTCCATCAGGGAGTCAAAATGGTGGTGTTGCTGCAACATTGCACATGTGCACGACATGATCTTGCCGAACTTACGCTGAAATTTCTGAGAAATGTTTTATCACGTTTTTTTCAGAATTGCGCCACCTGTTGAGAAACTTCATGGCGGTGCAGCCAGTTCACAGTGAAATATAACTTTGCCAGAGCGCGGCTGGCGAGGTCAGGCTAGTGTGGGCCTCTGAGACCACAAATTTTTAGACTGGGTGATGTTGATACTCACTGGGTCTCTGGCTTTTCCCGTACCAACCGTAAAAATTGCCATCAGATATGTTCCACGCAAACATGTGCAGTATGTTGAACGTTAAAGCCTGGCCACGCCACTGTTGTGACATCATACTCGAAGCCCAATGATTAACTCCCGGTAGGTGGTGAAACAAGAAATAACAGCTTACTAGCAGACAACAATATGTAAGAGACAAATAAAATTAACCTTGTCGGGAAGAAAATTAATACAGGAAGTCGTTTTTAACGCAGCAACCCCTAGTAAAGTGTTAGCGACCCTTGCTGATTGTCGTGCACATTAGACCCATTTGCAGTGCTTCATCACACTCGAATGGTGCGATCAAAGTCGATATTTCCGACCGAATAGCTTTCCAATAACTGTGCAGAGACATCTGATCTACCTGGGCCGCTGCTGAGTTTCGATGGATTCACCAAAAGACGAAATCGGCTCATTCTATCTGTTAACGATATTAAGATGAGCAGCGTTCTGCGCCGGCCTCGTGACTCACTTCTAAGTGACGTCACAGTCGATGAACCTCGTCGGGATGATATTCACTATTAAGAACAGGCGCCTAAGAGCAAGTGTGGGGGCCGTTGTGACTCCAGAGAGCACGTGGAAGGCCTCGCCAAGGCAGAATTCTGATAAGCGGCTGCATAGTTCCCCCCCCCCCCCCCCCACGTAACAGCGCAAGGTGTTCATACAACGGCCCGCCGGATATGACTGTGCCATTTAAAAGCCATTTTTCAGCTGCTACGTCTGTTGTATGGGTCTGGAGGAGGAACGTTCAATTTGTTCTGGTGACACAGCCACTGAGCTATTTTGCCAGTCGCTGATGAGTTTCACGAGAGCGAGGGGAAACAGACCGGTGCAGAAATTCACACACACAAAGACAGGCACCCGCCCACGTGAACTTTTCTTCGTGTCGGCAGCGTTATGTTTCCCACGGATGAAGAATTGGTCGTCGCAGAAATTTTGCTCGCTTAAGTAAAGACATTTTGCTCTGCAGCCTCTTCAGCGGGAGGTATTGCCTGGCAGCAGTGCGCAGTACACAGCACGTGCGGTGTTGCGGTGTCCCCGATGACCCCTCCCTTCCTGTCATCCGGAGGTATCTGGAGGGTACCCCCCTCCACAGACCACTCCTCAAGAGACAGGCCACATGTTCCCGGACCGTGTTCCTCCGTGTGGAGCTGGTCGGGCCGACCTGCCGCTCTCTTTCGCGGCGACCGTCGCAGCAGGCTGCTGCTACCGCTGCTTATGGCCGCGGGCCGGGACCGGGCGGATGCACGCAGAGCTGTGCAACCGAGGAGACGCTGGGCTCCAGGCCGGCGCCAGGCTGGAGTCTGCGGTGCGATCGTTATGAGTCGCATTTGTGTACATAAACTGGGCGGAGAGCGTACCGTGCAACCAAGCCACGCGAACTTAGTGCTGCGGTGGCGAGTACCCGAGCTGCCTTTAATGCTCTGGAAGACCAACTTTGCTCAAAGCAATAATGAAGGGGACGCATTCGTGATAACATCCTGGTGAAGTTTGGGCTAGGATTTCACACAGCTATACCTTTGATCCATTTTTAATGCAAGTTCAATCAATGTTCATTGCCGCGAAACTGAAGGGATTTCAATATTCTTAACTTTCCACAAGCCGTTTGGGAAAGACTCTCGGTCTCAT